GTCAGGCACATTGATGATGACCAGTGACATGAGGAAGATGATATCTATTCATAAGAAATCCATGATCCATTAGTGCCTGATGCAGAAGTACATTTTTATATGAAGAAAAGGAAATGGGAGGGCACTTGTAAAGAGGGCAATAGAAAGAGAACAGAGGCTGTGATTCTGCCAAATACAGACAGAAGAGGCCTTGCAGAAAAGGAGAAAAAGAGCAAGCAGAAAGAGAAAAACCAGAGGGCAAGAGCATCTCCAGTTAAGGGAAGACTGTTTTTAAAGACAGCATGTTGCAGAGAAGTCTAGTACAATCTAGCACAGGGAGGAGCGGGAGAATGGGTAAGGGGAAGGACAAAGGGAGCAGAGTCCACAGAGCAGAGAAGTGGAGGACAAGTAGAGGGCTGAGCAATGAGCAGGTATGACAGGTCAGTCTTCTGAGGTTTGCTGCAATGAAAGGGATGAGGCAGTGGGTGTTTGAAGAGGAAGAAGGGGTAAGGGAAGGCTTTTAGGATGAGGGAAAGCAACAAGTTCATGCCCAAGGAAAGGAGCTAGTGCTTTTAGAAAAGAAGGATTCAAGAACAGAGATATAAAGGAGATCAATTTTTTGTTTGTTGAGATAAGAAGAAAAGAGAGAATGGTATCTCTCAATAAATACTTGTTAAGAATGATGCTTGCCAGGCACCACTATTTTCAGCATAATGAAGAAGTAGACTAAATGCTTCTTCTCTTGGACTTTGTATTCTATGGAGAGAGAACAGATAGCAAGTATATATATATATATATATATATATATATATATATGAAAAAACTATATCTATACACATGCATATATTATATATTATATATATTATATATTTTATAAATAACTAGAAAAATGGAGCTCAGAGGCTCCCAACACAAAGTAATGGTAGAGATATTAATTACTTGTTAATTACCCTGATTTTGATCAGTATGTATAGTGTACCTGTATTGAAATATCACTCTGTACCCCATAAATATGTACAATTATTACGTGTTAGCCAAAACTTTAAAAAAGTTTAAGGAGGGCTGTTGGTGTGGTTCAAGTGGTAGGACAGTACTACCAAAACAAACAAATACATAAATAAAAAGTTTAAGGAAATGGAAATATTATTTACCCTAATTTTATCATTACACATACTGTATACATGTACCCAATTATTTGGGTACGCATGTACCTCATAAGTTTGTACAATTAAAATAAGTAATAGAGATGGATGATTTTGGCTTCTGTGTGGAGAGCAAACCATAAAAGAACAAAAAAGAAAGTGGGATGAATATTCAGGAGGGCAATCCAGATGAGAGGAGATGGAGGGAGTGAAGGATAGGTGAAAGGTGACCAGATTCTGGAAATACATCAAAAGAAGTGCTACAGGGTGTGCTGATAGAATAGGCATCAGGTCTGAGAACAGGGAACAATTTCAAGATGACCCAAAGTTATTGGAAAGTTTGGAGAAGGAAGGGAAGAAAGTAGACATGTTAAAAGTAATGGTATCTTTCTTGAGTGCTTACTATGTATCAACTATCATGTTATGTTCACTATCTATATCACATCATTTAATTCTCCAGATTAATAACCTCATTTTTTTTTTGCAGTACTGGGTCTTGAACTCAGGTCCTTGCTGAGAAGTGATCTGCCACTTAAGTCATACCCTTAGCTCTTTTTGCTTTAGTTATTTTTCATATGGGGTCTTGTCTTTTTTTTTGGCCTGGGGCCAGCCTCAGACCATGATCCTCCTACTTCTGTTTAGCATGCAGGTGGGATTACAGGTGTGTTTCACCACACCCAGCTTGTTCTTAGAGTCTCACTAACATTTGTTTACCTGGTCTGGCCTTGAACTGTGATCCTTCTACCTCCACATCCCCAATAGCTGGAACTATAGGTATGAACCATGGGCAACCTCAACTTTCAATAGAGGAATTGAGGCTAAGAGATGGCAAGCAATTTACCAGTCATGGAGTAAATAGCAGGCCAGGTATTGAGCCCCATGTGGTCTGGGTGCAGAGCATGCTCTGTAACCATTCATGCAACTCAGCCTCTATTTTTTTCTGAGCAGTGGAAGGTTACCCAGAGTTGACTGATTAATTGAAAAATGTACATCAGAGCTTTAAACAAAATAAGACAACTGTTGACAATGCTTTCTTTAGTGGAGTTGCTGCTGTGGTCTGTGGCTGTTTGCACATGTCTAGATAAAGAAAATGACTAAATTGTAATCTTTTTGGACTTCTCGAAAAGTGACTTCACTCACCAAGTGGTCCTTCAGGTACCACAACTGGTGTGGATTGGATTCCTGGCTCTCAGTCCTCTGAGATAAACATCCCACAATGTTATTGAGCATAAACAGTGATCTGAAATTGAGTAGGCTGGCAAGATGGAAGTTGAGTCATGATATATTTATTAAGCTGAGTACTGAGTTTGACACTCAGAGGAGCAGCAAATTAATTCAAGACACATTTTTCCCCCTTTGGGACTTATGGTATTGGTTTGGCTGGGGGACCACCCAACATCATTAGGTTGGAGAAATCAAATCTCCACTTTGGGCTCATTGTACTGCACAAAGTGACAGACCAGGAGATTAAATGGGCCTTGGTGCATATGGAATGCACACCCGGCCTGCAGACCCTCAGCCTGTGTGCATTAACTCCACCAGCAGCTTGGCTGCAGAGTGAAGGTGGCTGTTTGTGCATAAACATTGTCATTTCACTGGGACTGCTATTTCATCTTTGAACCTTGGCATCAAAGGAACACTGACCTTATTCCTGCAGCTTGCCTTTCTTTGAAGCGTATGGCTTTGCATTGCAGATTAAAGTGAAGACATTCATCAAGGAACAGATCTGGCCAACCGCTCCCCAAACTAAACCCGTAACAAAGCCTTGAAAGGCTCCCATCACAGTTGTAGTGGAGTAGGCTGAAGATGAAGGCTGGGAGCCAGGCTCCTCTTTCTCAGATCCTATAAGGCAGCTCTAGCAGGACACAGTGCACCCCTTTGAGTGTTGGGCAAATCATAACCCTGTGAATCAGTCTATCCCTGTAGGAAGGGATAAACTAATGCAACACCCCCCGTCCCCACCTATCCTGTTCATTTAAGTAGGCATTGTCATCAATGAGACCAGTATGATTGTTCATTGTGTGCTTTTGAATTCTTCAAAAGATGAGCCAGTCAGAACCATCTAAAACTTGATTTATGATTCTGCCAATTTGCTTTCTAGTATCTCTTTTGTTCATTTGTTTGAAAAGAAACTGCCCTATCTTTCTGCCTCCATGTGCTATCTCAAGTACAAGAAATCAGACCAGGCACATAGCATTCTTTTTTTTTTTTTTTTTTGTCCCTCTTAAGATGGCAGCAGTAGAGTGAGAGAGTTTAATTATGAGATTAAGAACAACAACCAAGTAATTCCTAAATTATAAGGCTAAAACCAAGAACCAATATAAATATTTCCCACTTCAGATGAAGAAAAATTGATGATAGATGACTATAGAAGGACAAAATATCATCTCTTTAAATGAAATCTTTCTGCAGGTCTTCTGTATTCAGATAAACATAGTGAGTTCTGTTTGTGATGAATCTGGAGACAAATCCAGAAGTGGGAAGGGAATGATTGCAAAGTTGTGAAGATATAAACCAACTGATTCTGAGAATATATGCTCTAAGGGTTTAAGAAATTAGTGAAAAACCTTGTGGAGACCTAGGCTAAATTCAAGATTATTTTCTCCTAGTTACTCATCTTTAAAATAAGGGTAAAGGGAAATTCTGGTCATTATGAGATAATTCACTTGTATTTTTGCTTAAATCTTGAGTAATTAATTTTCCATTAAGAAGTTCTTTGATGAAACAATTCTTCAAAAAGAAGATTGAAAAAAAAGAAATAAAAATTCAAGTGTAACAGAATGAAGAGGATTCAATGTTAATTTAACTGCTTGCTCCTACAAAACTGAATATACTTTAAAGGACAATAATATAACTTCAACCCCTACACCTAAATAACCACAGAGTCTATTGCACAAGAAAAAAAAAATCACTGGACACATGAAGAAACAAGAAAATGTGATCCAAAATTCAGAAGAGTTTTAATACAACAGATTCTTAGATAACACAGACATTGGAATTTACATACAGACTTTAAAACAAGTCTAATGTTTTCAAGAAATTAAAGAAAAAAGTCAGGCACTGGTGATTTACACCTGTAATCCTAGCTACTCAGGAGGCAGACATGGGAGAACTTGGTTTGAAGCCAGCCCCAGACAAATAGTTTGTGAGACCCTCTCTTGAAAAATCCCATCACAAGAAAAGAGCTGGTGGAGTAGCTCAAGTGGCAAGAGTGTCTGCCTAGCAAGCATGAGGTCCTGAGTTCAAACCTCAGTACTGATCCCCTCCACAAAAAAATTAAAGAAAAAGATGAATATAATGAATATAATGATATTGAATCTCAGTGAAGAAATTCAAACTTAAAATAAAAAAAGAAGATTAAGTTCATTTGGGTTGATTAAAGAACAGATTTTTGACCCAAATGCAAAGAAACAGCTGGAAATTATTTGTGATTTCTCCACATGTCCTCAAATGGCTAGTATTAGATTTTCGTTGCCCAACTGGCTATAAGAATGTAAAATAATAAAAAATTTGAATATTAAATTGACTACTTTGGCCTCAGGGAAATACAGAGATAGCCCCAAGGTAACTCAGGCAAATACACATACACACACACACACACACGAATTTACTTCATTTTAACATAATTGATCACACAAAATGGGCCAAATTTGATGATCATATGTGATTTAGAAGGTTTTCTTTGCTTTACCAAGAATGTGTGTGTGTGCAAGTGTGTGTGTTGACAGCCTCTCTAGTACATTTATCACTGTATCACCTGGCTTGATTTACAAATTGGGCTTCTTAAGATGAAGGTGTGTAATTGAGAAGGCAGGAGATTGACAGATAGAGGTCTAGGGGAGAGCTCATGTAAGCTGTGCTTTCTGTAGACCCTCTTACCTTCTGTGGTTCCATCCTGTCCCATGATGAGTTTCAGTGATCTGATGATTTGCTGTGCTATTGGGGCACTCATGGATGTAGCATAAGTAGCACTATGTGAGTGAATCCGTAAATAATCCACAAGTTCCTTAAATAAAGAAGGAAACCCAAAAAAGAAAGCAAGCAAATCTCAGTATTGGTGATGAGGATAACATCTAGTCCCATTCCCATACACTGTAACAGCTCAAAAGATGAATGTAGTTTGACTTTCAATGGGCATTGCTCATTTTTTTTTTCTTAGCCTCTCCTTAAAAATCTAGAAGCAGTACAAAAGGGTGGAGTGCTGCAAGTTTGGAGTCTAGGTCTGCAAGCCAAAACTATGTGTATGAGGAAAAATGATTTCTGAAATATCTGTTGAGTCAAGCACTTACTTGACTTTCAGGAGTGTCTAAAGAATACAGGATGTGGTTCTTTCCCCTGAGAATATTACATATGATTGTACCCATAGAAAAATAATGGTATGAAAAATAACAGTTTACGTAAATGAGTGCATGTAACAGGGCGGCAAGATGCAGGGGAAAGAGAGGGTGTTGCTAGATGCAGTAGATGGGGAACATTCCAGTGAGGAGAGAGGATCGATAAAGTGTTGAAGAATAAAAATAGACAAAAAAAATAACTTGGAAGAAGGGGATGGTACAAGGGAGAAGTTAAACAAAGGCACAGAGGCAAGAAAGCAGAAAACATGTGCATTTTATTACAATAAAGTGACTTTAATTCTTTTACTTCTTGAATTTGTGCATCATTGCAATTTGCCTCTCAGGCCATTCTATAAAGAGGTAGATGAATCTGGGATGGCCTAGTGCCTTGCTCTGAGCAACAGAATGCAGCGAAGTGATGGTGTGCTAGTTCTGAGCCTGGACCTCATGAGGCCTTGAGTGTTCTTGTTCTTTTAGAGTGCTTTCCAGCTACAGATGAGAACCATGTGAAGCAGAAAAATGGCATCTCAGCTAAGGCCACCCCAGGCCAACCAGTGCTCAGCTGACTGTCACACAAGAACAAATCCAGATGAGACCAAGAGAACTGCCCAGCTGAGCCCAGCCCAAATTGTTTCTATACAGAATTGTGAGCTAAAAAAAATGGTAGTGTTTTTATTCACTATGTTTTAGGATGGTTTGTTACACAGAAAAAACTGATATAACATGTTTGGAGGACAGAAAAGGATAGATTGAGGCTACTGGTTTAACCAGGTTAGGCTGGTTGGTGGAAAGTCAAGCCAGAGTATAGGCTAGGACTAGGTGAACTCTGGTTGTGCCTTAGGCAATGTATTGATAACTACTGGAAGTTTTGTTGAACAGTCATTGGAGTACTCACACACTATACAGTGCTGATCTTCAGTAGTAGGAATAATCTTTAACCCATAAACCTGACTCTGAGGTCAAACATAAGGTCTTAGTTAAGTTTGCTGAGAGCCCTAAGAAGTTCCAACAATGTAATGCAAAGTGGGGAGGGCCTCAGAAGTGTTATCTGCAGTGCTCAGCCTGGCTGCACTGCTCATGAGCTGGGACTTTCAGGATGTATTGTAAAAAAACCTAATGGGCTGATAACTCTATGCATTAGTAGTGAGGTCTTTAAAGGAAAAGCCACCTTCTCTTTAGGATAATGTCATAACTTAGAATCCCACCTGTCTTCTTCTCTGATCATTGCTTATGAAGGTGAATTGGGAGAAACCCTGGGAACTGAGATCCTTTGCTTTTGGGTAGGTCCATATCTTCCAAATCCTAATTCATTGGTCACATCTATTCTCACCTCTGAGTCTGGACTGTGTCCTGATCCTCACTTGTCCATCATTATTTGGTGTATGTGGACATGTTTTGCAAGCATTTTAAACACTCAAAGTTCATCTTCCTAAGTAAAGCAGGTGGTCTGCTTTTCTAGTGGTTAGTGAGGGTTAAACCAATAATATAATTAATTACTCTACCTGGCCCGTTTGGGGAATTCGGCTCCATTTTATCTTGGCTTTTGCTACTATGTCTTTTGCTTTAAATATCCTCTTCTACTTTTCCTTTTTCTCTCATTTCCTTTCTTCCTTCTCCTGCACTTCAAATGGTTTATTCCTTTTGTTGTTGTTGCTTCCTTTCCTTCTAGCTTCCTCTTTCCCATTCTTTTTACTCTTGTTCCCCCACTTTTTTCATTTCAAATTCTCCATTTTAATTTTCCATCTTTATTTCTAAGTATTTCCTTCCCTCCTTCCATTTTTTTCTTCCCTCTCTATTTCCTTCTTTTTCCCTCCCATATTTCCTTCCAGCAAGTATGTATCAAAGACTTGTTTCAGGTTATGTCCTAGGTATGTGTGTATGAGTCCAAGAGGGAAGGGAGGACAGAAAGAGGCCAAAGGCTAGTAGTACCTTGCATCCATCATACATGTATATAATTAAAATGAATTTCATTTTAATTTTTTTGGTGAATCACATGAAAATGGCAGGGTTAGTTCTCCCCCATTCTTAAACAGCATATGGATGAAGATTGCCTGACTTGAGGCATCAGTTACACAGCATTCAGGAAGTTCACACTGGAGGACTGGGCCCCTCAAAAGAGAGAAGAATAGTCATTTTCCAAGTGGCCACAACCAGGCTGTCCTTCATAACTTTGTGTACAGTACTCCTAGTGAGCAGCAGCAAGGATTGTCTTTTTTCTGTTGAAAACAAGCACCTCACCTCTAGGTGCTGGGGGGAGCCAAGTAGGGAAGAGTGGATGGGTTATAGGCATCAAATGATGGAGGCTCATGGGTACCTGTATCAGGAAAGAAGTTTTTCAAGGGGGTGATCTGGCCATAGTAGATAAAATAACTCTGAAGAGAACAATGAAACTAGAAGCTAACATCATAGCTGGTAGTCATGGTCTGCTTGACGCTCTGTTTTAAGAACTTTACATGTGTTAGCTCATTTACATGCAACATAACTATGTTGTGAATATTATTTTTAATCCTCATTTTGTAGATGGGACGAATAAGTCACAGAAAAGTTCAGAAAATTATTCACAAAAGGTGGTATAACAAGGATTTGTATGCAAAGAATCTGGCTCTGCAGTTCCTGCACTACACTTAGCTCCTCTGCGAACCAGAACGAGAGGGGTTCTGGGAGAGCACAGAGACCAGCTTCACCTCTGCTTACCCTGTGGTGCTTTCCTAACCCATAGGATTGGTCTTTTTTTGGGGGTGGGTGGGTGGGTAAGGGGAAGAATTCCTGATACACTTAAGTCTATATTGCAGTAAACCATAGGTGGAATCCTATCAGTCCTCAAATATTTTGTATCTATTACTCTTGCTTCTTCAGAGGGACTGAAGTCTCCTTGAGAAAAGGGATGGAGTTGTGCATGTCTATGAAAATCCACAAGGGTAGGGACTTAGCAGGGGCCCAGCACACAGTGATGGTCCAGTAGAAAGCAGAGGGTTTCAGAGACTGAGGAGGATGCCAAGTCCTTAATGAATGTGAAGGAATACTAAGCTGCATTCTTGGGAACAAGTGTAGTGATTTTCTCAGACTGGAAGGTGTCACTTACAAGACAAGGAAAGAAAACAAAGCTTCTTCTGATCCATCATGTTTGCAACCCCCAATTTCCTTTCACCAATTAAGAAATTTCATAAAGTTAGTCATAAGCATTCTAAGTTTGAGTAAGTAGCTTATAAGAACATCATTCCTTTTTCTGTTCCATAATACTTTTCCTCTGGACTAAGTCTACTTTGTCCCAGAGTCTGAGTTTGTGGGTAGGGGCTAATTTTCTTCTGTGGTTCAGAAAGGGGGGCACTGTAACTTCTGGAGAGTGTCAAGGAAAGCCTAGAGTCTTGCTTACTGATTCCCTTCCTTCGTTCCCCAATTGAGCACCATGAACCATGTATTAAGAGTTGCCTTTGGTCTTTTGCAAGCTAGTCTGGGTTGTGTCTTTCTTCAGGGTGGGTTAGAGGTCTCCACAGAATCAGGCTTCCAAGTCCATTTGTAAGTTCAAAACCCTGATTATTTTCTTTACCCACAGGCCTGGAGTTCAAGGACAAGGGTGGGTTTTCAGGAGGAAATCAGGCAGGAGCTCTTAGAATAAACATCTTGGTCCTCATTCCATGACCCCTATTTACTTCAAAGGGCTGTTAAATATAGCCAGGGCTGAGGACACCAGGGCAGAGCTGGCTTCTGTAAGGGGGCCTGCCTTTGCTTGGCTCACAGGCTGCAGGGGCTAATGATCACCCCAAACTTGGCCTCCCTGTCCTACTTCCCTTCTCCAGAATTCCGGCCCTGCAACCTATCAATCATGAGGGCAACCTTTGCTTCATTTGTTTGTAAGTCTCTAGTGACTCTGGAGGCTGTGGAAGTGGGCAGAAACATAGGTGTCCAAGAAGACTTAGGATCCATGCCTGGAAAAGCTGAGGGTCTCCAGGGTTGATCATACCTTCCCAGCAACTGGATAAATAAAAATTAAAAAAAAAAAAGGGAAATAAACTAGATCCATCAGCTCAGGTTTTCTTCAAAAAAGCCATTCATGGCATGGAGCTCTGACAGGGGGAAAGAAGTAATTATCTGACATTTCTTCTGAAAGGTCTTGACAGGCCAATGTCCTCCTAGCAGACTGTTTACTGTGCATCTATAGTACTTCTAAACTCAAAGTGAGCAAAAGAGAAACTTCTTGTAGGCTCTTGAGAAAAACAAGGCCACGGCTGAGCAGCAAGCTCCAATTAGCATAGATGAATTTGTAGGTCACTTTGTGAGGGGAAGGCTGAGGACAAAACAAAACCTCTCTACTCTCTGTGGTCTTAAACCACATTAAACCAGTTTTTCTCCTCAAAATATATTCTCTTGTTTGTTTCCAAATGTTGTTCTCTTACATGGCTCTGACCTTGACCCACTCCACAAAGATTTCTAGATCCTCTGAGATGCTGTTATTGGGAATATAGTCCCTCCAAGACTATACACCAAGATTAACAAGTTCACTTAAAAAGAGAACGAGACTTCAGAGACAGATTTTTTTTTACCTTTCCTTAGATTTTTGGGCCCAAGCAATTATTTTTAAACTCCAAGATTTACTAAGAGCTGCAGGAAGATAGCAAAATCAAATTTCTTTACCATTTCAAAAAAATGTCAAGTCTAGAAGTGAGCCCTTAACATTTTTTATGGTAAATTTTGTTGCTTTTATGCCTGTTGATTTAGAATCCTAGATATTCTATAGTTCTTCCTCATGAGAAAATATCAAAAAAATGTACATTGTGAAACTATGAAACTTTGAAAACTATGCTCTAATTATTTGAAATAGACAGGTAGAAAGATATTTTTCAAATAAAAATGTTTACTATTTGCTCAATCCCCACCCTTTCGAGTTAAAAGCATAGTTTAAAAACAGACTCAAAATGAAAATTCTTCACAAAATTATCCAAAGTTCAGAGGAATAAAATATCCTATTTAAATTGAAACTACATGTAATTTAAAGTTAACATAAGTAAAAAAACTTAAGGGTACAGAGTTGCAGATACATGTTATATTACTTAATGGGCTCATTAGGCTGGAAGGAAACCAATTTATCTGGGTTTATCACTGTTTTACTAAAACCATTCCAGGTAGGTGAATGTCTGAGTTTTAAATCATCATACATGTGTCTTCTTAAGAGACCACCTATCTCCTGCTCACTCTCTAAGTCTTGAGCAGTGCCATATGTCATCAAGATTTTGTATCTTGTTCTTTTAGGACAGCATTTCTCAGTATGGGCTAATGAGCCTCTGTCAAGCATTCAAATTTCCTGCTGCCATCTAGTGGTAAATTCAGATGTGCTCTGTAACATGGATGGAGAGGACAAAATAGGAGGGAAAGGGGAGAAGAGGAATGAATCCTAATATGCCCAGATGAATATTTTCAAGGCAAGGAAAGGAAAAATATGTGCATACTTTTTCTGCATCCTAATTAAAGTAAGCAATTGGTCACAATTGGTCACCCTGAATGAATAGAAGTTATGCAGGCAAGATAGCCTCTACTTATAAAACATTGTATCTTACTTCAGGATGGAGAGTATGAGAGAATCTTAGCTGGTCTTTACTGCAGCTAGCTTTATTTAAAGTGGGTATCAAATGAAGAACCCTAAGGAGAAAAAGGTGACATCTACCAAATTTGACAACATTTCAAGGATCTGCTCAGTTCAGTTTATTCAGGTGCCTTTAGTTCAGGAAACAGTTATGCTTGGTTAAAAATTTTGTAGATCAGAACTGCTGCTAAAGTAATCACAAAACCACAACCTCACAAAGCAAGGTAACCTGGATAAGGCAGTTCCTAAATTTGAGACCTTCTGATCCTGATGCTGTGCCAGTTAGGAAGGGACTATTTAACCTTTCACTAGATTTAGCTGACGTTTGTAGGAGACTGGGCATTCCCTATATTTTTTAGCATTATCCAGCTAATTCCCACAGACCAGTGGAAGGAGGATGAAAAATAATGCTTTGAGCTCCAAAGAAAGCAGTGCTTAGTGAAGGGTAAAGATGTTAAAACTGAACGTTTTAAACATCTGTGAGTCTCATGGCAAGTGGCCAAAATGCAATCTGTTGTTTTAAATCACAGGCTTTCAATGACAGGATTGCTTTATGCTATACTCTTACATTTGTCTAGCTGGTTTACCAGTAGGCTGACCTTTCCTGTTGGTTGCATTGGGTAAGGAGTTGGGAATTTTGGGGGGATAAGCTGTTGACACCACCTGCATGTTCTAGTTTGGGGCCTATGTGCCATGCTACTTGGAGCTAAGACCACTGTCACACAGTTTCTCTGGGATAGGTGTAGGCTTGTTTGCAATAACTGTTAAGATGTGGATAGGTGTGTATAAAGAGTCAGGCAACTGACCCCCTTATTCCTCAAATCCAGATTTGAATATTTGATTTTCTAGTTTTCCTTTACTTCCCTCTTTTTTAAAAATTTCTTTCAAATATTTCGTTTTATATCCACAAAACATGAGTGATATAAGTATTACCAGGACAAGGTTAGCACTTACTTAACAATTTAACCCCAACAGATTAGAATTTTTCAGGCATATAGATAAGATATTAGAGATGACAAGATTTGATAAGATAAACTATAGGGCTTATCCAACATTGTGGAAAAGAACTGTCTGTGGAGAAAATATCTTAAAAGTCCATTCTTGATCCTGCTACTGTTTTGATAAAAACTTCTAAAACCCATAGGTTCAGCCTGACCTTTTCCCTATTGTTGCTGTTACCTACTTTAATTTTCATGCCAAGAAAAACAAGCTGCCGATAGTTTTCACATTATCCTTTATCACTTCTTAAGCGTGGTATGCATTATGCCCTCACTGTGAAATAGAACCTCCCAGCATTTGCCTACAAAATTATTTTCCAAGACATCCCAGATACTATCCTGTAGCATTATCATTCCTCTTTGTGTTTTCTAATCTGTGCACTCTGCACCTTGCTAGCAATGTGGTTTTATTATAATGTGATTATTCATCTAATGTTCTTTACTACTGGAAGGTGGAGCTGGTGACATTCTGGGCCTTGCCTTGCTGTGATCCCTGAGCTACAGTGATTAGGTAAGGTGAGATAAGCTGAATTTAAGCTTTCACAGAATTTAGAGAAGTCCTGCTTACTGTTTTCACAGGGTGCTCAGGTTTTAAATAGATACAAGGAATCTCTTTCTTACCTTTTTTCCAGCTATGTAACCTCCCGCAGCACCAAAGCTTTTGCTGAAGGTGCCCATGTACACATCAATATCATCAGGATTCAGTCCAAAGAGTTCTCTGATACCTCGGCCAGTTGGGCCTACAGCCCCAATACTGTGAGCTTCATCCATGTAAAGGTAAGCCTTGTATTTCTTCTTCAGAGCTACGACTTGGGGAAGGTTCACAATGGAACCTTCCATGCTAGGGCAGAAGGAAAAATGCTCATAATTAATGAATACCCTCTTGGGAAGCTCTGTGAATCTCCCCCTAGTCCCCCCCCTTTTTTTGGCACTACTGGGGTTTGAACTCAGGGCCTACACCTTGAGCCACATCACCAGCCCCCACCCCCCTTTTTTAGATAGGGTCTCAAAAACTATTTGCCCGGGTTGGCTTCGAACCCGTGATCCTCCTGATCTCTGCTTCCTGAGTAGCTAGGATTACAGGTTTGAGCCACTGGCACCCAGCTTGTGAGTCTCCCTTTTAATACATCCTAGACAGTCTGCCCCTATGCCAGCCAGGGATGACAAGGATCTGTCATTCCTCTCTGAAGGTACATTTTATTTGGCTAAGGTAACTGTCCCAGTTTTGTAAGGTTGCTCAGCATGTCTATACTTATTGCATAAAATAATTTCCATTTGGTGCATTTGAGTGCTTTGGGTTATAGTTAATTCTCAAGTCAACAATTAACTCATTCTATTATTGATCCAGTTTATTTACAGAGCTGATTATTGTAACTACAATGATCATTTCAGATTCTAGGTATTCTGCTAGCTTAATTAGATTACTCTATTATGATAAACTTTTGTCCACCTGCTACTGCTTGTTTAGAGAGGTCTGCCTGACCTAAATTCAGTACTTAAATTGCCAAAGATTAAAGGGGGAATTAAAAACACATAAAAGAACTTAAAACATCATAGTATTAAATAAAGCATGATAGAAAGTCCTAAGACCTCTGTTCAGTACTCACTGCAAGCCAAGGCCTTATATGAAATTCTTGGTTGTGTCCCTTCTTTCTGCTTCTTTAGAGGAATGGAACCAAAGTTGAACAAACACAGAATCCCCTGAGAATTTAATACATAGGCTGCTAGGCCCCCACCCCAGAGTTTCTGATTCAGTAGTTGGCTGGGAATATGCATGAACTCCCAGGAATGCTTAACACTAGTGGCTGAGGACAACATTTTGAAGACCACCACTATAAATGAGCTGTTTTGTTTAGACCTGTTATGTTATTATTATTTCAAGATTTGGATTTCTTTTTTATTTTCTAATTAATTAGCATTAATTTTTATAGCAGTTATAGGTTTACAGAAAAATTGAACATAAGTTACAGAGAGTTCTTATATATACACTATATACACAAGCACACATGTGCACACACACAGTTTTCCTAATCATTAACATCATGCACTAGTGTGGTGTATTAGTTACAATTAATGAGCTAATATTGATAAATTATTATTAATTAATTAAAGTCCAAAGTTTACATTAGGGTTCACTCTTTGTGTAGTACATCCTGTGGGTTTTGACAAAACAATGAAATGCTTCAAAAATTTGCATGCTATCTTTGCATAGGGACCATGCTAATCTAACCTCTGTATTATTACAATTTTAGTATATTTACTGCCAAAACAAACATTTAAGTGTTTTACTTTTTGTGGTATTTTAAATTGTTAAAACACTTCAAGTCCTCTAGCAAAGGGAAAAATATAAAGTCAATAAATAAGTAAAATTAAAATGAATATTTATAGACACTTCTGGAACTCGGTGGATTTGAAAGAACATTTGACTCTAATCAGTTCTCAGAACACTTTGTAGGGTGTGTCTACATGCACACAGTTCTGACTGTACTGGCAAGTGAGTTCTGTGAAAACACACAGGTTCACATGTTCACTACATAAAGAAACTTGTCAAACAATTCAAACAACCTTTCAATTTAGTCAAGAACTAATCAATTGAATCAAGCAGAGAGTTATACTTCTCCCTCCTTCATAATTACTTTATTAGATTGCATTTAATGCATTTAAGAATAAGCTTTGGTGTTAGGTTGATTCAGTTAAAACAGTCAAGCAGGTTGTACCGTTATGCAGAACGAAGGGGGTTAAGTTTGATGCACATTGGGAACAGCATTTCTGTGTTTCAAAAGGTCATTGTAGATGGCCAATTTCTGATTTTAATGGACTAAAGACCAAATAGAGTCATCTTCCATAGTCTGTGAGTCAATTTCAACCTTTTCTTAAGTTGTTTGCTTGTTAAAGTTGTCTCCATTAAGGAGGAGGTAGTATAGCTGCCTGCCTGCCTAAGTCTAGATTGTGGCCCCTCCACTTACTGAGAACTTGGGTAACTTAATGAGATCTTCTGCCTCAGTTTCTTCATAGGGTCTTTAATCAGCATGACTTGAAATCATGATGTAAAGTGCCTGGCCCATAATTCACTTAGTGAATTGTTCTTGAGAGCAGCCTGGCAGGAAATGGTTGCAGTGAGGCCTGACTTGAGAAACTGGGAGCCCTTGACAATACTCTGGGTAGCTGTGAGTGCCATTGTGGGTGTCAAACATAACAAATGGCTTCAGACATTCAGAATTATAGAATTTTCTTATCATCTTTAAAATGTTATAAATTGGTAACACAAATATGCTAATCCAACATGCCACAAATAGCCATTCTTTGTTTTGGAAGTTAATTTGACAGGAGGTAAAGTTAATGTTGAAAAGTGTTTATAGACAGTCTCAGCAGCTAATTAACCATCCTTCCATGGAACTGGTCTAGCTGATGTGAGGAGCCTGCCCACCTGGTTTGTATTTCTTTCTCTAAGATTAATGACTCTACAATACAGCTGATTTTTGGAGTTAATGCAGGGCACACAAAGACTCCTAGGGAGAACTCAGCTTTTATAGAGTCATATTTGCCCACACTAAATTTTTATCAAACTTGAATTTAACCTTTTCCTGTAGTGAGATATTAAGTCTGAATACATGCATAAAAAGTCTACCTGTTACTCCCATGAATTTCTATAAAAAAACTATCAAAAGCAATAAAGAAAAAAGAACAGCATTTTTTTCTTTCTTCCTAATTTTTCCAATAGCTTTAGTAGGAGAAAAAGAACTAAAATACAACTGTAGGTAAAGATAATTCCACCAAATAATTTCAAGCATTGTGCATGGATTTGAATTACTCTTAAATTAGCAGGTCAATGAATAAATTTTTATATTTTTTCTGTTATATTAACTAAGCGACAAGACTTTTCTTCCACATATTAACCATACAATCCACTGGCAGGATTGCAAATTAAACCACTGGTGTTCCAACTTTCATGGTGAGAAAATCTCCTTGGTGGACCCAAAATAAAACCCAAGTCAAGAAGGGAAGGGTGAGAGAGAGAGAGAGAAGAGAGCGAGTTTAGATAAAAAATAATTACTATTTTCTTATTCTTTATGTAGTTAAACCATAACCATTGAAGTTTTCAATTCTTAAATTTACACCATTTGGGAGAGGAAATGGCTTAATCTTAGTCTATTCTTAAACTACATAGCATTCTGATACTTCACCACATGTTTATATGTGTAGTTTTGGGAAAAGTTGCATATTACTTTTTAATTCCTTTTATTTTGAAAGTGTGGCCTCAAACTTTGCTAGTTTATATCTGAGGTTATTTGGGAAACCTTCCTCCATGAGTATATTTTTCAATAATTTTGGGATTTCTCAACCATTGTGAGTTGATAAGATATCTAGACTTTTCCAAGACATAAATCTACAAAAACAGACTTTAGCACAATACTAAAAATACAGATTAGAACACTAAAATAAAATTATTGTAATTTTAGACCCCACATCATGGATCTGTGAAATTTTAGACTTCAAGTTTTAATCCCGTATTGAACACATAAAGAAACTGAGGCCCAGGTAGAAAAATTGTAAAGGTCAGTTGAGTAATTAGCATTGTCCATGTTTACTTCATTGGATGTGGACAGATGGGCTGACTTTTCTATCTACATTGAGCCTCTGTCTCACCTGTTTTTAATCCTAGCTCTGCTTCATCTCATTTAACTGTCCTAGAACAAGTTATCTGGAACTCTGAACCATAATTTCTTCATCTTCACAATAACTTCAGGGCTATTAGAAGGCTTACTCAAGATTTCACGTGTGAAATGTGTATCAAAGAGTAGATACATGGATCAGCAGATTCCTCCATCTGACATCCTCCCTCTAGATGGATGAGGAGCAAATAGTTTTGCTTATTGTTTTTTTAAGTTGAAACTTCCTTAACTGAAAATAAAGGTGACAATGAAGACAGTCACCCTTTGTTGTGGACATTCTGTGGACTAGACCTCTGCAAAATACTAGCTTATATGACCTCATTTAATACTTGCAAAAGAGCCCTATGGATGGTATAGATTTAAACCCAGATCACAGGCTTACCTTGAAATCACCATCTATGGATTGTGATGTTATGTATTATTATTAATTTTGTGGAGTTTTCTAAGCTAGTCCTGGTACCTAGACTTTTCTATCTTGGCACTTGTCTGAAACCTTGATTTGTCTGACTGTTCTTTTTTGTAGATATGAAAAAAAATTATATGTGAGCCTTCTGTGGTAGGGGTGCTTTGCCATGGTGGTAGACGACAATCAAGAGTAAAAAATATAGAAGTTAAGGTTAAAATGAGGCTTTAGATAGATACTAACCAGATATTTGTCCACAATGTAGTGCCTCTCTGGATTGGAAATACACTTGTGAACTATTGATTTAGCACTCCTAACCAGGGCCCTTTGGAAAAGTCTATGGGAAATAACTTCTTATTTTGGTGATGGCTCCAAATTAGAACATCCATATAAAGGCTTTCCCACTAAGATTTAGGGCTCTAGAACTCATCTTAAGTTAGTTTTGTTTTATGTATGTGGTACTGAAGCTGTCAAAATGTATCCTGATTCCTCCCTATCAACAAGGCCTTTTAGGTCATTTAGAGACAAGATTTCTGTGTTTTATGGATGGGATAAAAGGAACTGCATTGTGGTGGCAAGTCCATGGAAAGTGCAAACTTTGCTCTGTATACATGCCAGGTTGATTGAGATGCTCTGGTAAGTTGTCATCAAAGACTTGCCTGCAAGTCTTCCCATCCCTGTATAAATAAACTGATTGTCACATCAAAAATTAAAGTGCATTTCACCTTCTTTGGAATCCAAACTGGCCTAGTGGTATGCTTTGGCCAATAGAGTATGGCAGAAGTAAAGCTGAACCAGCTTTGGTTCTGGGCTGATTCCTTAAAACAATGGTGGCTTCTGCCTTTGCTCACTTGGAAACCAGCTGCCATACTGTAAGGAAGCTCTGGCTAGACAACTGAACTGTAGAAACTGAGGCCCAGGTAGAATGATTGAAAAGGTCAATTGAGTAACTTGTGTTGTCCATGTTTACTTCATTGGATGTGGACAGATGGGCTGACTTTTCTATCTACCTTAAGCCTTTGTCCCATCTGGGTCACCTGGTTTTAATCCTAGCTCTGTTTCATCTCACTAATCTGTCCCAGAGCAAGTTTGGGCCTCTGAGTCTTAGTTTCTTCATCTTTACAATAACTTCAGGGCTATTAGAAGGCTTACTCAAGATTGCACATGTGAATGTGTATAGAAAAAGCCACACGAAAGAGAATAAGACATGCCAGTTAACAGCTAGCACTGAGAGTCACTAAGAGCACTAAGATCATTTTGGATGCTGTAGCCCCAGCCAAACTCTCAGCTGAATGTGGTTCCATGAAGGACCTCCAATCAACACCATGTACTCCATTGGTCCAGATGATGCACAGTGGCTAGCATGGATAACAAACCATTCCTGTGTAAACCATTATATTTTGGGGCCGTTTGTCACACAGCAATAAGTAACTGAGCAGTCACCATTGTTAGGGCAATTTAAATTGTGGTTTGGTGCCACGCTGGCTTGGAGCTGGAAGTCCACACCTGGGTCCCTGTTCCTTCTGACGTCATGGAAGGACATAGGACATAGGCCTGGCATAGCCCTTATTAGCAAGTTCTACTGACAGAGTAATTTCTTTGTGTAACTGATGGGAATATTTGACAGTAAAATGCTGGTGGTCCTCTTAATTTCAGTCATGATCAAAGTGCTTAAAACGTAATTTTCCTTTAGTGGAGCCAGATTCTGTTTATTTGCAATTGGTTTCTGCTTACTCTGCTCAGTCCCAGTCTGCTCTTCCTTAGCTAATCTGCCCTCCTACTAGTCCAAGTCTGAATGACAGTTGTTTAGATAAAGGCTGTTTCTTCCCTCTCAGGCTGGTGGTTGGCACAAACAACACAGGGAGAAAGATCTATGCTTGAGGTTATGACAACATAGTATTGACATGAGATTACTTCCTAATAGTGGGAAGTTTTGAGACAGGTAGTAGACAATTATTCTAGATCAAGATTTCTCAATCTAAGCACTATCACCATTTTGAAGTAGATAATTCTTTGTTGTGGTGGGCTGTGTTTGTATTGTAGGATGTTTAGTACTATCCCTAGTCTCTCCCCACTAGATGCTAGTAGTACCCTACCATAGTTTGGGCAACTGAAAATTATCAAATGTTCCTGGCTTGGGAATCAGGTAAAAATCACATCAGTTGAGGACCAGTAGTCTAAGGTGAACCCAAAGACTTCCTAAACAGGAGCTGACTTTATAAGATAATAATAGGTGATGCAGAAAGCTGGCTACTAGAAATTTGAAACACCATCTTTCCAACCCCACATCCGGAACACAAGTCACTGGGTAGGAAATTCTAGAACTAAAATAAAAAAATGATATCAGTCTTCTTATTTTAAATTTGGGAGAATTCATTTCCTTTTTTTTTTCCTAGCAGGGATGGGAGTACATTTCTCCTGTTACTTGTTATTCATGGTAACAAACGATCTTCTCTCCTGGGTCTGGTCAAAATGGCTGGCTAAAAGTAGTGCTACTTCTGTTCTCAAGTTTTCATTGCAACCACATTCCTGGCTAGGAAGTCAAACAGCCATCCGCTCCTTCCTGTTAATATTTTTCACTTTTCTGTTGTTATCTCAAAGGAAATATTTCCCTTGTTTCTTCTAACATCAGGGTTATTTGAGAATTGATTTGAGAGTGAGTACTGTCAAATCAATGTTTCCTGGGCTTATGCACTAGAGCACCCAATAGAAGAAATACTTGGATACAATTCCCATTTTACAATGATAATGGATTTAGACAGAGAAAGGTCAGTTTTCCCCCATTAGGAAGCTTGTTGTGGAATGTTAAAATGCCTCCAGTTATTTACATACCTGTAGATACCCTCCACCAGGATGAGAATCTTTTTCCAAGCTCTTCGAGTTCTTGGTTGGCCATAGATGATAGCATCTCTCAGGTGCTTCTCTAAGCTTTGCATGTCTTTAAATAATATGAAAAAAGGCATTAAGTCATGAGAAGGTCTTTCTTTTTCTCCCTCATTTTCTTTCTTTGGGAAGCATCATATTTGGGGCTTGATTTTTGACATCCCCTCCATTTCAGACGTTTCAAAGCTTTAAGGCACTGGGACAGTTGGTATGCCTCTGTAAAATATTTGGAGAGCTTTGGATGCATTATTAATTGCTCACAGTTATTGAGCCCTATTTTTGCATCAGACACCATTCTAAGCCTATTCATTGTTGTAGGCTATTTTATTCTCACAAGAATTCTCTGGAGAAGGTACTAGTAGGTATGCTCATTTTGTGGTTCAGAAAACTGAGGTGCCAGAGGGGTGTAGTAAACTGCCCCAGTTCTATGATCATAAGTAGCAGAGTCAGGATTTGAACCCCTAAAGTCTGTGGTATGATCCATATTTATAACTACTACCCTTTACTGCGTTATATGAGAACCATTGTACCTCCATCTTCTCAAACCACATCATGGTATAAAAGAATGAAGGATGAATATCTGGCAGAACATCCTTGGTAATTTTTAATGTCAATAATAGTGACATTTCATTTATTTGCAAGTAGGTATAGATGATGGGGGTTAGATTGATAGACCATTTGGATGGACTTGTCCTACTAACCCAGCTGTGTGGGGTGTGTATCTGTGTGTGTTTTTAACTTTTAAACCTAGAGAAGAGAGAAAAATTGCAGAGGTTTATGTGCATTTTTAGTACATTTCTTTGTACTTCCTTGGCTTTCCTTTCTTTGACAATCTAAAAATCAAAGGCCTTTAGGTCTAGAATCCAATCTTAATTTAAAAATATGGAGATGTTACTGAACTGCTTGACTGTTATATAATGTTCAGCAGGCATTAGAAATACAACTTAAAATGTTCACAAAAGGAATAACTTAGTAATGATAAATCTAAAACCAACCATCAATACTGGTTTTTATCATTGTAGACAAAGTTCTTAAGAAGCAGATATTCCTTGGTTTGTTTTCACTAGTCTAGGCTCAGATTAGCTGAGGTTCTTAGTCTCATTGGAGAATTCCCTGACTTTGCTCTGTGGTTGGTTCCCCCAAAGCTAGGTACTTCTAGAAATAGATTTGTGCATGCATTTGTGTGATGTGGCATGATGTGGTCTGTATGTGTGTGTTTGAATAGATTAAGTACATTTGAGCAAACATCATTCTAATAGAAGTGCCTTCATATGAATTGCAGTAGGATAGGATAAATCAGAATTTGATAGCATAGTATCAGAACTTCTTCACGGAAAGGTGCCTGGTTAGCCCAGTGCCTCCCAAGCTGTCCCCAGAATCCATCCACTACAGTGGTTTTAGGGTCCTGGCATTCAGGAAAAGGGTGTGACATAAAATTAGGGATGTTGTGTTCTAGAAACAGTTTTGGAAATCCAAGAATTAATGATAATACACTATTTGGCATCTTTTGATCAGTTTAAGAAAACTTATAATATACTTAATGAAGTAATGAAGGAAACAATGAAATATGTAATAATATCTGGTATGATATGTGACCCAACAGACAAAAATATCATTTTTCTTTCTTTGATTATTATTCAGAGACTACATTTTAGAGGAACTGTCAGTTTAGATATGGAATTAGTCAATTTTGCCATGATAATTATAGGACCTGTGAAAGAAGAAATTGAAGAGATGGCATAGTTTTCATTTTGTTTCATGCTGCTTTGCTTTTCTTTTTATCTGCAAAACAGGTCCAATGATATCTCTGGAGTCAACATTGTCTTCTACTCATAAAATATTTCCTAATTTTCAAATTTATGAGACTTATGATTATAGGTTTTTAAAAAATCCTGTTCTACTCAAAATGTGAGTGACATTTGACACTATTCAACCTATACTTATGCTTTAAGCCTCTCACTTCTGGTGTCTAGAAACTGTTCTCTGATTTCTCTTTCCCTCTTCTAACTATTCTAGCAACCTTTGTGGGAGCTATTTCCTCTTTTTACCTATGTTCCTTTCAATATTCACCCCTTGTACTGCCCTCTGTTTTTTCATTTAACTCAGTAGGTCTCAACCTTCAGTGAGACTAAGAACCATCATTTGGAGAGCTAGTTAAGAAGCAAGTTTCTGATATTTCTCTTCAGAGATTCTGAGTCAGTTGGTATAAGATGAAGCCAGAAGTCTTCACGTTTAGGTTCTTTGGACTCTTGCATCCTAAACTCAAAGCTAAACCTCTATTTTGATAACAGAATAACTTGCAAATCACTTCAGACACTTTTAAGACAAATCTATGGGTACCTCAAACCCAAAATTTTCAAGATGGAACTTGTGGTAGATGGCATATTGTTCCCATTTCCTGACCTCCCCTGCCATTTGAATCCTTTGCAGTCCTCCCCACTAAAGAGGTGAAAGACATTTCCCAGTCCCTTGACAGGACTTGTTTTGGCTACTAGAATACAAAAAAGAGACAGTTTTTTTTTTTGGCTAGTTCTAATCCTAGACTGGAAGAGACCTTACATATTTCAACTCTTTCTCTTGTGCTTCTGCTGGTGATATGAAAAGAACATGCCAAGGACAGCCCAGTGTTCCAAGGATAGTCCCAGGAGATGATGAGAGACAGGTAGGGCACAGTTATCCCAGCCTACCTGTAGTCTCAAGTGAGAAAGAAGTGCTGACTGTGTATGCTACTGAGACTGTTAGATTGCTTGTGATAATAATAGTTACCTAATACAGAAATGCCCTTTCCGAAGTAACCTCTGCATGTTTCCCCATGTTCTGCTGCACACACAGCCTTCTCGTTCTCCTGTATGCTTTTCTGCTCTCATTTATCATTCAAGCCTCAGCTGAAACTCTCCTGGTTCATGACACAGAGCATAGCTAAGGGCTTTCCATGTCTGCTCTCATACATCATCTATTCTTCTTTTTAATCACTCAGTATGTAACTTATTATTGGCTTTCATGACTCTCCTCCATGGAAGGCAAGAACCTTCTATTCTTCTTTCCAGTCCCAGTCCAAATGCACAGTATTAGGGCTACATCAATGTTGGATTGATTGAATCAATTTTCTTTTCATGGAGAAAGAACATAGACAGGAAGACAAGAAAGGGAATGCAACCTTTGGATGTAAATAATTACTAGAAAGAATAGTTACCTCCTGTTTGCAATAATATTTCTTTAATCAATGGTGATTTTTGTTTTTGTTTCGAAGACAGACAGATCTCTTCTAATTGTCTCTGAGTATGTTTTAGAGATGCTACATCATTAACCACTAGATGGCAGCCAAGGAAACAAAAAGCAGCTTTGGAAAATTTCAGGGATCATAAACCTTCATGTTTATTGATAGCTTATTTTTCACTTTTGCTTTAAGCTGGAGTGTCTAAAACATTGAAGGAATCTAAGTGATTAGAAGAACCACTTTCTTTTTTCCATACTTTACCAAGACTGTTCACCTCTGGGTGGATAAACAGTTGATGAAAGTAAGTATTATGGTTTGTGGGGGGTGGGGGATAAAGGAGAATGGTAGAGGGGGTAAATCCAAGTATGATGAATTTTATATATTGCAGGTACTCTTGTAATGTCACAATGTACCTCCACCCTTCACAACAATAAAAAAGTATTATGGTTTAAGGAGTGTTTTTCCTTTGGAGTTTACTTAAAAAGCTAAACATTGATCTCCCATTTGATCCAGCAATACCACTCTTGGGGGTATACCCAAAAGACTGTGACACAGGTTACTCCAGAGGCACCTGCACACCCATGTTTATTGCAGCACCATTCACAATAGCCAAGTTATGGAAACAGCCAAGATGCCCCATCACTGACGAATGGATTAAGAAAATGTGGTATCTATACACAATGGAATTTTATGCAGCCATGAAGAAGAATGAAATGTTATCATTCGCTGGTAAATGGATGGAATTGGAGAACATCATTCTGAGTGAGGTTAGCCTGGCCAAAAAGACCAAAAATCATGTGTTCTCCCTCATATGCGGACATTAGATCAAGGGCAAACACAACAAGGGGACTGGACTTTGAGCACATGATAAAAGCGAGAGCACACAAGGAAGGGGTGAGGATAGGTAAGACACCTAAAAATTAGCTAGCATTAGTTGCCCTTAACGCAGAGAAACTAAAGCAGATACCTTAAAAGCAACTGAGGCCAATAGGAAAAGGGGACCAGGAACTAGAGAAAAGGTGAGATCAAAAAGAATTAACCTAGAAGGTAACACACACGCACAGGAAATTAATGTGAGTCAACTCCCTGTATAGCTATCCTTATCTCAACCAGCAAAAACCCTTGTTCCTTCCTATTATTGCTTATACTCTCTCTACAACAAAATTAGAAATAAGGGCAAAATAGCTTCTGCTCCATATTAAGGGGGTGGGAGGGAGAGGAAGGGGGTGGGGTAGGGGGAGGTTGGAGTAATGACCCAAGCATTGTATGCACATATGAATAATAAAACAATAAAAATTAAAAATAAAAGTTAATAGAATTCAATGTTAAAAAAAAGGAGTGTTTTTCCTTCCCAGACTTTGAATTTTTGAATTTCTAAGTTTTTATACAGAAATGATATATGATGAGGGTGGCTCCAATGCCATCCTAACAAACTCCAGTCCAGGTAAGCTAAATTAGCAGGAACTTTCAAAAGAATATTGTTTTTATTGCATCAACAAGGTTAAATGCACATATTACAGGGTTAATTTGGGATTTATTTTTTCTAGGGATAGGGTCTCACTATGTACCCCCAGGCTGCCCTTGAATTCACAGTCATCCTGCCTCAGTCAGTTGAGTGCTGGGATTACAAATACGTACCACCATCCATGGAAAATATTAGTATTAGTTGAAAAAGAATATCACTAGTCCTGAAGAGAAGTTCTCTCTATTTTAAAATGAAGCAGAACATGAAAATAAATCTTTAGATGACCATGATTTGTTTTATGCATTTTTATGATGAAACCAAAAGGAATCCAGTGTCTTCCAAGACTAGGACCTCTTGTGTTTGACTTGAAAGG